GCTTGACTCAATTATCTGTCTCTATATCTATCTATCTGCCATTAAATACTAAAAACTAAATAAAAACTAATACTAAAAACGAGGGCATCTAGCAAATGCTGGGACATTTGTGAGGTTCCCTGATCCTTATAGAAATTCCAGCGTGCATGCTCCCAGCGTCGCGTGACTTCCGTTGTCGTAACAAGTATGTGAAAAAATTAAAATATTAACCCTACGTGCACAGACTTGATATGAATAATGTTGACTAAGAAATATTAAAAATTATGCAACTCTTATGCAACATCCTTTTAGTGTCTACTGACTAACTGACAGACAACACACTAATTCATGAATTTATGTTAATATGTTTGGTATCAAACTGTAGTATTATATCAAATGCTAGTATTATACATTATTTAATTTCTTAATTTAAAAGTAAATATTAAAAAAACACTTAAACATCAATTTTTTTACAAGATTTATATTCAAAATTTGATTAAAAACTTTTTATTTTCAACGTATCAATAAACATGATATCAAAACATGGTTTATAATTCAAATTTTAATATCATATGCTTTAATTTCTTACTTAAAAATAAAATATTTATATAAGTTCTCAACCTCACTTTTCTGTATCATGTGATGCCTGTCTGCTCTGAATTTTCCATTTTAGATTTTCATTCTTCCCTTATTTGAGTGATTTAGACTTATTTCGTATTATTCAATTTTTTTTTTCAGACCAGTTTCCCAAAAGAGGGGGGGGGGGTCAAACACTGCCTGAAGGGATCACCTGTTTTAACAACTCGCCCGTCCATACTTTACAGTTCAAATTGTTTGGGAACAATCAACAACAGTTTGTGTAATGGCAAATAAAAGGACAGTATCTTAGTCAGAGTACAGTATCTAAAGAGATGCATGGTGGGAAATAAATATAAGTTTGGGGCTTCATCTCAGCCACACATTTACACAAAATTGATGGCATCGTGACTGCTGATAATTACTGGCAGATTCTTATCCATTCTACCATTCCCTCAGGAACACAACTCATTAATTGAGGATTCATCTGCCAGCAGGAGAATGACCCCCAGTATACAGCAAGTGTTGTGAAACAATGTTTTGATCCTAGAGAGGTTAAATGAAACTCTTAAACCGTGGTTTGGCCTGCTGAAAATCCCAATATTAATATTCTTGATGCTGTTCACTTCTGTGTTTTTGGTCATAATGTTTATATTAAAGTCACCATCTACTTTCCATTGCTCATTGTTTGTGATTCCTGTATGTTTCCACAAGTATTTCATTAGTGTTTCTATATACAATAAGGTCACTTAACATTTTTTGCTGGATATGTGTAGGTATATAATTTTGCATCTATAAATTTGATTACAAGGAACCCACCTTTTAGAAAATAAAAGTTTGGAGATGGCTTGACTGGGTAATGAAAAAACTTTATTATAAATGTACAACGTTTCGACAAGATTATGTCATCATCAGGTACCAGGAGTATAAGGAAGCTCTTCAACTTGGTTGGTACATCAGAAAATAAACTGCATCAATGAGAGGGAACAAAAAGCCCCTGGAAACTGAAGGGTTTTAAAGTGCTCTAAAATAAGATCTGAGGCTCTCCTTCACTTAAGATATGTTCAAATGAAATATATTTTAACTTCATTGTGCTTCTAGATTATTGAGGAAAATACTAAAGGCCAAAACAAGAGACAACAAACCTTTAAGCTGAAAAAGCAAACATTTTGTTAATTACTGTTACTTTTACTGGTGGCTCAGTGGTACACTTGCAGGCTTATAATGCTTATTTCTGGGATTAAATCTCCACAGTGGTAAGAGCACAAATAGCCCATTTCTAGCTTTGGGGTTAGTAAAATAAAATTAAAAGAAATTACTGTAACCTTTCCTGAAAACTGTTGAAACAAATTTAACCTCATTTCAGCTGTACTATTTGTTAAAATGAATTACTAATTAACCCTCTCTAGGTGGGTCACGAGCCAAAGGCCATGGCATTGCATTTGTTTACTCATTCACATTTTATTGAACTACTATTTTAGCACATATCTCCAGATTATTTACTCATTTCATTTTTTGTACTCCAATGCCTATTTCAGCTTTTTGATTTAGTTACCATTTCTTAACAGCTGTTTCCAAATAACTATTGATCCATTGAGACCATTCCATGCTGATATGTACCTTACTGTCCTTGAGGTAACATTAACTTCTCTATTTACAGCAAGGTCAGTTGCAGGAGCTATACTTGACTGTCAACTACTTTTTTAAGAGCATATCTTGAGATGTCTATTAATCCATTGAGACAACTCCATGCTGATATGTACCTTAGAGTCGTTGAGGTAACATTAACTTCTCTATTTACAACAAGGTCAGTTGCAGGAGCTATACTTGACTGTCAACTACTTTTTTAAGAGCATATCTTGAGATGTCTATTAATCCATTGAGACCACTCCATGCTGACATGTATCTTACTGTCCATGAGGTAACATTAACTTCTCTATTTACAGCAAGGTCAGTTGCAGGAGCTATACTTGACTGTCAACTACTTTTTAAGAGCATATCTTGAGATGTCTATTAATCCATTGAGACCACTCCATGCTGATATGTACGTTAGAGTCGTTGAGGTAACATTAACTTCTCTATTTACAACAAGGTCAGTTGCAGGAGCTATACTTGACTGTCAACT